TTATTTATTTATTTGACACAGAGAGAGAGCACAAGCAGGGGGAGCTGTGGGTAGAGGGAGAGGGAGGAGCAGGGCTCGATGCAGGGCTTGATGCGGGGCTCGATCCCAGGACCCTGGGATCATGACCCGACCCAAAGGCTTAACCGACTGAGCCACCCAGGTGCCGCAAGAGATTCTACATTTCTGACAAACTCCAGGTGATGTCCAAGCTGCTGGTCTGGTACCAGACCTATATAGTATGATCCCATTTCTGTAAAAACAAAATGAAATAAAATCAATATATAGGGGACAAACCAGAGAATAAACACCATAAAAGCCATACTTAGTGGTTATCTGTGGGTAGGAGGATGACCAGAAGCTTTGAAATATTGTGTAAAGTCTGACTTTTACAGTAAGTTTCACTACTGTAATTAGGAAAAACAGCCCAGCTGTGATGGTGCCCCTCTGGGCAGACATCTGCAAACTGCACCCCCTCCCCAAATTAATGGCTCCACTCCAGGCTTCACCTCTGCCGTCTCTGGTTCTCAGAGCATAATAAAGGGGCTGGCTCTAAGCAGCTCTTCTCAGGATGCACAATGCATGTAGCTGATGCTCCAGCTGCCTGGAGGGCTCAATCAGTTGGTTTGATCAAATTCTCCCGAGCACCAAGCCAGGGCCATGCCCCTCACAGGGATTCTAAATCTCTCCTTATCCCCATTACCTAGATTAGAAAACTGAGGCTCAGAGACAGGAAGGGACCTGGATCACCCAGCTTGAACAAAGCCCACGGCCTGCTCATTTTCCTCTGCCTGCCTGGAAAATCCCCCGCCCCCAGATGTCCATGTGGGTCACTCCCTTACTTCCTTCGGGTCTCTGCTCACATTTTTACCAGAATCCTACTCTCACCAGGCTAAACAGAGTAACACTACCCCCGCCCCAACCTTCCCCAGCTTTCTTGCTTTTCCAAAGCACCCATCACCATCTGACAGAGTCATATATTTATCGGCTTATTGGTGTTTGTTCCTCTTTTTCCACATATGCGTATAAGCCACATATGGGTAAGAACTTTGTCCATTTGCTCATTGCTTTATCTCTGGGGTCTGGCATAGGGCCTGGCTCAGGTAATAGGCATTAAACTGGTGAGTGAATGGTGATCTCTGATTCCCAGGGCACTGCTCTCCCAGCAGTGCTCCCCCACCCCCCACATTCACATACAGGGTGACCCGCTGATGTCCAACAGCACAGGGTAGGCTGGCCTCTCTTTCCCAGCCTCCTTGTGGGCAGTCCAAATTAGGTTCCTCAGAATCAGAGGTGGATGGCTAGGCCTGGAGCCCATGTCCTCTCCATGTGAACAGGATACATAGGGCAGGACTATAGGAGTCCTGGATTTGAATTCCAGTTTTACCACCACCCTGATGCGTTGGGGCAAAGACTGACACTCTCTAGGACAAGAAGTCCCAGCTCTTCCAAGAAGACCTTCCAAGGATCAGGGCCCTGGCACTTTCTATTCATTCAGTCTGGCCTGCTTTCCCCCTGATCCGCCTGTGGCTGGCTCCTTCTCATCATCTAGGTCTCTTCTCCAATGTCACTTCCTCAGAGAACTACCCATCTCCTCCCAGGCTAAAGGGGCCTTTTGCATCCACACACGTACCTCTCTTCACACCCTGTTTACTTCTTCCATCACTGTTAGTGTAAACTATTTTCACTTTTACGATTTCATTTACCTGTTTCTTCACTTCCCGTCTGTCTCCACCACCCCAATGTAAGATCTGAGAGTAGAGACATTGTCGGTCTTGTTCACTGTTGTATGTCCGCTGCTGCCTACGACAGGGGCTGGCTTACAGGTGCTCAATAAACATTTGTTGAATTAATGTTCTGTCTCCTTCTAGAAACAGGGAAACTGAGGCCCAAGGCAGGAAGGGCATGCTGCCATGAATAAGTGTCAGAACCTAGAGTAGAAGGCAGTGAGGCCGAGTGGAACTCCAGGTCAGGAGACGTGACCTTGAAGGAGACCCATCTCTCTCCAAGCCTCAGTTTCCTCATCTACAAGATGGAGTGAGACAGCCATGACCGCTATCCGAGAGGCCCGGTACTAG